AGAGAGAGAGAGAGAGAGAGAGAGAGAGAGAGAGGAGGGAGAGGATGAATGGATTCTGAAACATTAAATCTAATTTTTTATTGGTTCTACTTCTTTGTATGACTAACTGCAAGTGATTAGTTTACAAAGCACTTTTGAAAACTAACAATAATTCATTTTCAATTTTCATGTTTTTTTGTTCCCTTTTGAAATAATTTGTATCTGTGCAAGGAAAGAATAGGAAATTTCATTTCATATTGTGTGGTAGCTATTTTGTTCAACACTTGGATCATAACCTTTGAACTTTTCAATTTATTTTGTTGTCTCATCCATCGCTTGGTTAATCTTAGATTTCAACCATTATTTAAATTGATTATAATGGTGGAGATGGGAAAAAGAAAGATTTGAAGGCAAATTAAGATAGGAGGATGATTTTTTTCACTTCTTTTTTTTAGTCTCCCTCTCTCTCTCCCTTCTTTCTCTTTTTTTTCAACAAGGAAATTTGTTCGCGTACAAGGCTCTTCATCCACTGATGATGAACTCAGTTGAAATTTCAATTTTTGTTAAATATCATTCCTACTGTTCAATCTTTTAAACCACAAAATGTTTAAACCTCGTCATCTTAGCTTTAGAGTGATTTTCTTATTAGTATTCCGTTGAAAGAAGTCCTCAATATTTTTTGTAATTCGGAACTTTCCGAATTTTCTAAAAAATACAGAAAAAGAAAAGAGAAATAATTAAGTGGAAAAGAAGTCATACAAATTTGTTCTTTGTACTGTAATGCTTCAATCAACGATTACTTACCGCAATATTCGAGATATTTAATCCTCAATTTATAAAAAAAAAATAGGTGAAGTTTTTAAAATCTGAGAAATAAGAAGGAGAGGGAGGGAGAGAAGGAGAGAGAGAGAGAGAGAGAGAGAGAGAGAGAGCAAAACGTAAGCCATCTGTTATACCCCGCCTTATCGGTAAATCATTGATTACCATAAACTATTAGAACTTTTATACGGCGCTATCTCTTATAGCCTTTTTACATGGATAATTTTTTTTCCAATCATATGATAAGAGAGGGGACTGGACTCTTTATGCATTCCAAAAGTCGATTATTTAATTAAGTCTTAAAAGCTTTCAAATTAATATTTGCTTCACTACTCCAATTATCATTATTTGTCATTTTCAATTTTTTGAAATTGCAAATGGATGATAAAGCATGATAAGGGATGAAAATTAAGAATTAAATTATTTTTTTAATGAATTTCGTCTTTTCTTGCTTTATGGCAGACAATTAGATGTTATCATTTTGACAGCACATTTTTTATCACAACTTTTTTTCCGAATTTTCTATAATATATTCAAGTATGCATCATACACAAGCAGTATATGTCTTTGTAATAGCGAGATTTGAACTGCAACCTGAATTCCATGAATCAGGCTGGATAAATCGGAAGAAGAGAAAGGTCAAAGGATGAAAAACCTAACGAGTTGCTAATTTTAAGCCTTAAGTTTGACGATAACAATCATAGAATTATGGAAAGAAGCCTGACAGATTCCATTATATTGCTACTTGAGCAATGAATCTGAAACAGAGAAATGGAAGATTATTTGTTCACAAAGTCACAATGCGTCGAATACCTTAGCTAAGAACCAAATATAGCCGATCTAAATTATACAATGATGAAATCTAATCCATCGATTTGAAGTGGGACATATGGTTTATTAAACTGCGATACAGGGAGGGTGAGATAGTGAGGGAGAAGGATTGTTGCAGACAGCTTTGATAGTTCCATTCAACTTCACTTCGCTTCCATTTCTTCCCTATTGCATTTTTCAAATTCTCTGATTACAAACTGGAGATAGTTACTTATATGCATATTCTTCTCAGGAAGCAATGATTAGATAATGATAAAAGGGAATTAGTTCAGGACGTTATAGTTCGATCTTATTCTCGTGATGGTTCGCTATGATGAAAAAATGTGACAAACAAATGACTTGGAACTGATAAACGGGCGGTGCATAACTGTAGGACTCATATAATTGATGAATATTTTAATAACAAGAATAAAAAATATGTTAGCGTTCTCTTTATTATTAATCAAATTATTTCTCATCGACTTTCTTTGATAATTCGTTTAGTTCCCGTAACTATAATATTACTGATAAATATCTTGGATTCATCTCTTTTGATTATTGTTAATAGAGAAGTTTTTAAATAAGTATTCCAATTTATCGATAAAAGAGTTCTGCCGTCCAAATGCATTACTGAAAATTGTTGAGTTGTGTGCAAAGTTATCATTCATATGTCTGTTCTCTTTTCGCTCTATTTTAGTCTAATAAATATGCAATATGTTAGCACACAGTTGACAATCACAGGTGACACATTGACAACATTGCTCTTATGATTGCATTGCTTCTTACAGGTTCTCCTATCACATCTTTATTTTTTACTGTTAAGTATTGTTGTCTTATCAGTTAATGATGCTAATTTATTTTGATTTAAATAAAGAACAATAAAATATTACAAATCATATGATCATTTGGTGCAATATCACTGTCAAAATATACTAACAATAACAATTTTTCTTTCTTCTTGTTTACAATATTTGAAATAACTAAGAAAACAATAATTTATCATTTATCTACTTGAAATATTCCTTTAATAATAACTGGTGATAAATATCCTTTATGATTCGTTGAGCTTTGAAATTCCCTTTTTACGGATGGAGCTCGAATTTTAGTCGGTTTTATTGCAATTGTTGCGATTGTCTCTTCTTTATACCTATGAATTTCAGCTTTATTTCATTTCATTCCTTTTGCTGGATGTTATATTAGGTAGTAATAATATTATTGGCACTATTACTGGAATAGCTTGATGTAGAAAGCCTTACAAGCCAAGCTACCTCTTTCGTTCCCTTGGGAACAAACCAATTTTCACTTATATCTATGGAGAAGCTTTCTTCATTATTTCGTTTTCTTTTTCTTTCTTTTTATTAAAATCAATTGCTTGAAATTAAACTTTTTCGGCTCTTGATTGATTTCATCATAGAAGCGCAAAGTTGAACTAATAAAAATATGGTTCATAGAAGTTTGAAACTGGGATGTAATGTGTAAAGTTTATCAAGAATGAAATGGAACTGAGGAATTAGCAATTAAGCTTACGCATGGAATCATTCATGACATAATTTTTCTGATTTTTAACTAATCTGATTTTCTTCGGCTAACTTACGGCAGTATATTTTAGGCTTACCACACAATATATTTTATGCAATTCGTTGGCACATTACTGAGCAGCAGTTGTTTGCTCATCGATGTTTTATTTTTGATTTGATGGAAATTCGACATTTCCATTTGCCCTCTCTACTTGTATATCTGTGCTTTTCATTTGAAACAATACAGTATCTCTGAGCAAACAGCAGTGGGATTTGATCTGTATTAGTACAAAAGTTTTGCTAACAATGATAGAAATGTGTTCGAGCAATTGAGAATTAAAAATTTGAAGGAAAAATGGAATCAGAAAACTTAATGAGCAGAGTTCTTTCATGTTTCTTTTTTTACTTATGTAAAACAGTGTTAAATTCCTTATCAATTATTTTTCATTTTTAAAATCAAAGGAAAAAAATTTTAAAAAAATTCAAATTTAAACCAATATTTTCTTAGTTCAAGCTTGGCTTCCACTTACTGCTATAAAATATAAACAATCATAATGGTACCGTAACCTGAAGTTTGTATTTTTGCCGTTTAAAAGCTTTTTTATATTACTTAAATTTGTTTTTATTTTGTCATTAGATAATTGCATAATATCAAAAAAAGCTTATCATTCTGGAAATGATAGACTTTTTTTTGAGTAGTTCGCTGTATTTCAAAATTTCTTTTTGTTTACATCAAATTTGATTTTTATTTTTCTCCATCAGTTGACAACACTATATGTGTGGGAAACTGCCGTTTGGTTTTGTTATCTTCCAAATTCGTTGACAATATGGCGGCAATGTTTATGTTTAGGTTTTATATACATAAGTGCTAAAGTTATCATTTTCCTCTTAAAAACTGAATATTATCAATTAATACAATGTAAATAATGTGAAGAGAAATGAAGAAATTAAATGGAAATAGATTAAACTTAAAAATTAATTTAGACTATTATTAACACTGTTTACTTTTATTGTATATATAAATGCATTGTTACTCGTGTTAACTGATCATATCAATTATCCGGATACGGAAATAGCAAGGCATTTTCTCACTTATCGAGTTTTAAACTTTAGCAAATATGAATATGAATTCACTTTTTCATAAATTCCAGAATAAGAAAAGACAGAAGAAGAGTTCCTTCCCTGCTCAAACTTCTCTGATCTAACCGCCTAGGCGAACTAATGAAAAATCAAAGGCAGGAAATGACTAATAATATCATCAAAATAATTTTTTTAAGTAATGAAAAGAATTTTATAGTGAAGGAATCGATTCATTATTTTATCTTCAATGGGAGTTCTCAAAAGTTCAAAACCTTTATATATCTGAACTGAGTCTATGATAGCTAGATCTTGCAATGCTTTATTGATTAATTTCATCATTTATTAACTTCAAATTCCTTCCAAGGGACATTCATGAATAATAACCGTTCGTTCATAGAAAATTTCCCAAGATAAATATTGCACTGATAAAGTTATTTCAGGAATTTAGAGAGTAATTGGCGAGAATGTTAAGCTAATTGGTTATCAGGTGGCTTTGTTCTGTTTGTCGGTCACCATGTGGTTATGTCTCGGATACGATTTGAATATTTATTTATAATCCTCACTGTTTTCTACATTGGCACTCTTCTTCAACTCTTATACTATCCACTTCATTCATCGGTTTATTTCTATTTGTTTTTTTTTTTGAATTTATTAATGAGTATTTGGTTTTCAGGATTTCCTTATCAATTTCACTTAATTCTATCGCGGAATTACGACATGTATGCAATGATTGTGTTTAGTTCTGTAAAAAAAAAGTTACAGACTGCTTTTATTCTTGGACAAAATGCTTATAAGAAGTTTTCAGTTTGCACATCCCAATTTGCGCCAATTAAAGTATGAAGTGAAAGGTTTGGAAAAACTTTTGCAAGAGGGTGAAAATGAAATTGCATCACTTCGGTAAGTTTTTTGCGCAATTTAAAAATTACAAGAGCAAGCACTAATTAATTGCTAAGATGCTTTCACGTTGTAAATATCTAATTATAAAATTAGAAGTATTTCATTTACATATTTCAAATGGATATCGTGGTGGTACCACGTTTAGGAACTTTAACGAACTCGAAGCTAATGGATAAATAATCAACTTTCAACTTTTGAGATCGTTGATGATCTGTCAACTATGCTTATTTTTGTGTTCTAATTAGATAAAGGTTTGGTTTAGGAAGAAACTTGGTAAGATTGAAAAGAAGAGTACTAGTATTAAACGAGCAGTGCAGCCTTATCATATGTCATTGTCGCGTAAGTTTGAACAGTCTCTTGAACGTCCATCAGATGACGGATGGCCACATCAAATTCCTGTCCTGGTATTTATATGCAATCGTCCGAAGGCAATTTACAATCATCTGAAAAAATTACTCAGGCATATAGTTGTTCATTTTTTGCAAAGATTATCACGAATAAAAAAGTGGATTTAATTAATTAAATTAGCGACATAAATTTTTGAGGAGGAGATATCGTACTTTGCTTGCGTGCTTTTCTTCTAATCGGAATAAGATGCTTATCTGATTAAACTCTATTGCAGTGATTAGAGATATTGATTGACAAATTAATGCACAAGAAGTACAGATCCTCATTTCAAGTATCATGAAATATACTAACATACTTTTGTTGGTGACCTTAAAATCGTTCAGATCAATGTTATAAATGGTAATATTCAGGTATCGATCATCAGTTGAAAAATTCCCGATAATAGTGAGTCATGACTGTGACGATTCGAGCGTCAAAGAGGTTGTTGAGAAATTTGATACCGAAGTGATTTATATTAAAGTAATGGTTTCCATTTGTTAATATAATAATGGAAATGGAAATGAAGATTTTCCAAATCAAATTATGAGTAAAATTTTGTTTATTGAATCATCAACTAGATTAATTTAGACTTGTAAAAAATGAACATTTTCCCAGTTACTTTATATCCCTTTTTAGAAATTTAAATTCACCTACTGTATCAAATAAATTTGGTTTTTTGGATATTTTATGGCCAGGTTTTAATGATTAATTTCTTGGCTGTAAAATAGCAAATATAAAAAGTGGAAACAAAATGTTGAGAATATTAATGGACAAATAAGAATTCCTAAGTTTGTTTTATGTATGCAAATATGACTATAGTGAGTGTGACAAACGACTGTTCGAAATAGATGACAGAATTGATGACTGAATTTCGAAAATTTAGAAGGTGATACAATTATGAGTATTATACCAGCTAGTTTTGAGATAGAAATAATTCATGTATTTGCGATCATCTATTGATCCTATAGCAAATATTGCTTAAAAAGTAATCTAGGAAATGAATTAGTATGAAAAGGGAAATTTTTAATTCGCATAATTTTGAAAGAAGCATTATTATAGCACTTGAGCAGTCGGAATGCTCATATCACAGTAATTCCGGAACATAAACGTTACATTACTTATTACCGGATAGCACGACATTATAAACTCGGTCTGTCATACGTATTCGATAAGCTCAATCATTCCAGTGTTATCATCACTGAAGGTTTTATCTTTTTGATGAATGTTTTTCGAAATCGTAGTTTGTTGGAATTTCTAAATTGAACTTGAAATCTTTGAAAATTATAACGAAAGTTATTGTCATAGTTGTGTTACAGATGACTTGGATATAGCACCAGATTTTTTCGAATACTTTAGTGCTACACGTCCACTTTTGGATGCTGACAAAACTTTGTATTGCGTATCGGCTTGGAATGATAACGGTAAAGCTTATCTGATTGATAAGAAACAACCGGAATTGCTATATCGCAGCGATTTTTTTCCTGGACTCGGATGGATGATGACCAAGTAAGAGCGAGTCTTTTTCCGCACTTCTTGGAATTTTGAAGATTTATTCGGATTTTATTAATTATTGAAGTCATAAACACCAATCCGATTTCCAATATTGCCACTTAATCCAGTAAACTCGATGTTACGTTACAGAAATTCAATTCATGCAAATTTCAAAAAAAAAGAAAAGTTTGTCTTTTAAGTAACTGTTTTTATTCCAGGGAATTGTGGGATGAATTGGGTCCTATTTGGCCAGATGGATTCTGGGATGACTGGATACGTAACAATACGATACGTAAAAATCGAGCTTGCATTAGACCTGAAATATCACGCACCGGGATGACTACTGAAGGGAAGAAGGGTGCAAGCAAGTAACAGCAATTATTTACTGGTTGAAAAAAAAAAAACTATATTAGTGATCAGTGATTTTCAACAGATTGATCTATTCATGTTGACATAGAATTTTTGCATTGTACAGAAATTCAATTCATTACAGGGGATTATTTTTCACGCAGCATCTCGCCAAAATATTTCTCAGTGAAGTTTTTGTAAATTTCACGAAATTGAATTTACGCTATTTGATTAAAGTAATTTTTCATTCATTTATATTTTTAAATCAATCAACTTTAATTGACATTGATTTTTCTGGAACTGTGAAAGGAATCCTTCTTCTGAAAATTTGCAAATAAATGATTATCTTAATTTAGAATGCATTTTGGTTCTTGCAAATACTTCACAGAATTCAACAAACTAATTAAGCAAGTTTTCCAGGATAATTATGATCGTGCTTTCCTGAAACAGGTATATTCGGCACCTCTCGTCTCATCAGCAGAACTGTTGATGGAAGCTATCATCTTGGGTAATGATACCTTACGCATCCAATATACGACATTAGGGAATTATCTTCAAATTGCTGATTACTTGAAAATAATGCGAGATTTCAAGGTATTCCAAATAAAATTTTTCATTAAAATTTGGTTATGAATTTGAATATTCTTTTTTCTGATTAGTGGTGAAAAAAAAGAAGCGAATAGAAGTCTAAGTAAAGTGGGAACTTCAAAGATCTGTTGGTTTTAGTAAATAAAAACTTGCTTGATTTATAGGATGGAGTACCACGGACAGCCTATTTGGGTGTGATAACGTGTTTCATCAACGGAGCACGGGTATACATAGCACCAGATTGGAACATTTGGTCAGGATACAATCCAAATTGGGAAGCATCATCTGAATAGGATATGATATTTCGATGTAAACCTCATTGTTTTATTCTCCCAATAGGTTTCCGGTTTTTCTAGCTTTATTTTATCCTATCTTCTCTCAACAAATCGGTTTTCATCTGTAATAACGGATTTTGCTCTTTTTTATACATTTTGTATTATGCGCTAATTTTCTCTTTTATGGAAATATTTTAATTAACATTTTTATATTTCGGGAATATTTTAGGACAGTTAGGTTGAGTATATAGGGTAGTTTGTTTAAGTAAGGTTTGCGTAGCTCAGATTTTTGTTCGTTTTATTTGTTAATATTTGTAAAACTTTCAGTTTACAAATTCGAGGGACAACCACATCGCAATTTCGTTAACATAATATTCCAAAGTTAGTATCAAGTTTAACGTAGCAGTTCATCATTGAATATTTCCGGGTTAAATCTAAACCATCTGTTTGTTCAAAAAGAAGTTCCATGTATCATATTCTAAAAATTTTATAAATGTGTTTTGTTATAGTCATCAAACCATTACTATTATTGGATTATGCAGAAATTTCCAGCTTAGATTTAAAATTATGGTTAAGACATATTGCCAATATAAAGCTATAGCTTTATCCCTTATGATAGACTTCCAGGATGACACGAGGACAAATGAATTGAAACAAAGACATGAAAAACTGTGTGAACGATTGAAAAATTACTTGTATTCTCTTTTAATTATTTAATTTTAATTTGAATTTCATAGTACATTTAAATTTACAAGAAAAGTTTAAAAATGTTATGAAATTCAAAAATACTGTGTAATCACAATAATTATTTGAGATTTCCGCTGATCCAAATTATAATTAAGAGAGATATTGTCAATAGAAAATAATTGCTTTACTTCCTTGTGAATAAGTAAACGTTATATAGAAATAAGTTGTTATTAAGAGTAACTAAATTATGCAAATTATTTGTCTTATCAATTTGCCAGTTTTATTTAGTGATATTTATGATGGCCTTTAGCTTTGTAATTCATCCATTCCGCTTCTGACGTATCTTTTCTAATGTGCTCAAAGTAATCTTTGGTATAATTGTCTTTTTTTTTTGAAAATACAACTATCTTGTTCGCATAATTAACGAGTTTTAATTTAACAAGCAATTATTGCATGCGCAATAATTCTCACACATAACATTCATTCCAATGTTTCACGTTAAAGGAAGGACACATCGTAGCTAAAAAATGAAATTAAAAAAAAAATGATTTGGAATTTATTAGATGGAAATTGTTTGATCACATGTCACCCAGAGTACAGCATTGGAAGATGATCAATTTTTTCATATGAAATGATATTGGATGATGCTGGAAAATCATCACCAATATTATAATCGCATCATGAAATCATAGACAGCAGATGGATCGAATAAAGTAATTTACATGGCATTCGTAGCCTGGATGTGACGTTTGCACTTGAGTCATACTGATGTCATCATTACAAAGTGCATTTTGCATTCGAAAATTGAGTAATTAGAGAGGACAGAAAAAAGAGTCAACCGGTTAATATGATTGTTTGGACGCGCAAAATTACTCATTTTCTCTTTTACTCACTGTTGAGAGAATTTCAAGTTTGTCTCACTATTTCAAATTTCATTACTCTTTTTGAATCCTTTAAAACTGTTTGTATTCGTTCATTCCTAAGTGAGGATATACATCGAGTTAGCCATAATTGTGCTTTACCCATTTGCGCCTCTTCTACCACTTCTTTCACGTTTGATGACATTTTACTGAAGAAATTTATTTTATAAGAACTGATAAAAGAAGACAAATAGAATGGTACAGTTATGTAACATTAATCATTCTAATTTTCTCTTCGCATGTATTTCCGGATTTGCTGGAATGATTATCCGCGGGACACATTGCAATATACCGGATGTTTGTTGTGAACAACCTAGCTGTTGTTGTGATAATAACTGTTCAGGGAATATCTCATTGATTGGTATTTGCTGCTGGACCTGTTGGATTCGAGTAAATGATGGTGAGTATTGAATCCCAGAAATTTGTTGTCGCTGTTGATGAATTGGTTGAGGTAACTCTTGACTTTGTATTAGTTCTGGTAACTGTTGTTGTTGTTGCCGTTGCTGGGCGCAATTGTCGTCACATGCATAATTGCATGATATATTGCATTGTTTAGCTGATCTATTTTGCTGCACACATTGTTGCATGCACTTGTCCTGACATATATAAAGGCAAACTGAAAAATGTCGTGTTTTGGGTGCCTTATTGGTTGGAATTTTCTTCGCTTTTGCCGAATATTTCTGTTCGGAAGACTGTGACTGAACGGTCAATAATGAATAGGTAAATGCGGGTGATGGAGTGGAATAAAAGGCACTAGGTAATATTGTTGTCTGATGAATGCATTGATCCCGACAAGATGGCATACAAAGTGAGGCGCAAAGTGTCTGAGTGAGATGCGGCATTTTATCATTGTCTGCTGCTGATTCCTGTCGGAATGATCCTTTTGACATCGATGGTTGATGAACAGTTGATTCCAGTGGTGGCTGATGTTGGAGGACAGGAGCTGTTATCGAAGTGCTTTGCTGAATACATGGACAAGATGGCATACAAGCATGAGTACAAATGTTATTATTGTTATCCGAAAACCGACCATATGGAATATCAAATTGTCCAGTAGAGTCTGAGAATGGTAAAGATAACGGCTTGCTTGATTCTTTCACCAGTATCGATGTTTTCGATACAGATGACATAGGTATCGCTGTACTTAACTGTATTTCCGATACTGGAGCGGTACTATCCTCTTGCATGTTCGATTCCCATGTTTGGTGTTGGGGCGGAAAATATTCGTGCTGTGTTTGCAGTAATTGCTGTTGTTGTTGCGGTATTGCTTGGGAAAGTTCAAAAGGCGGAATAGATTGCTCCACTTTGCACATGTTTTGACAGGATTGCTGACAACGAGAGTATTGCTTCTTTACACACGTCTGAAGACAAATCGGAATACAAGCTGACAACTGCGCCGATTTTTGAGATATAGGTGCATTCCTTTCGGTAATAGAAGCAATTGCCAGAGATTTTCCCTGGTACAATTGTTGTGCTGCTTGTTTTAGCTCCTTTTCATTGTTGCACTGACATAGAGATGGTTGAATTTTTAAACAGATACAACGTCGAAAACGATAATGCTGCTTTTTCTCAATGATTTTAAATGAGTAAACAAAATAGACCACTAATGAGCCAACGAGAAAAAGATGTAGAAAGCGCTTCATTAAAATGCGACTATTGCTGTTGCTAACTGATTGTTGATTGGGTGTTTATGTGACAGTGGACATTTAGTTGGAGACTTTTTTATATAGTTTATTCTTGGGAATATTCATCCGGTTTAGAAATATTCAATTAGTTGAACAAACAAGAAATTTTGCAGTGTTCGGTAATAGTTAACTCTTACAAATATTATGTCCAGTTATTTGCACCTCAAATTACAAATAGTTAATGGATCAATTTATCGATCTCATCATAATCAAACATTCAGTAACAATCAAACAAAAATGTTAAAAATTTATTCAAATAGAACTATGTTACATCACTTACAAACATTTTCTTTTTTTTTTAAAAAAAAAAATTCATATGTCATTTGTCATTTCTTTTTTGCGTAAAGGAAAATTTCTGCATAACATCTAAAGAATTTATGCATGAGCATTGCAATTGTAAAGTATTGTAAATTTTTTGGAAATAATGAATGCAAATTTTTATCACTCTTTGCTGATAAAATTATCGTTATCAAAGTGAAAATTTACTTTGATACAAAATATACAGTAAAATGTATCTCAGTTGAGCTGAACAGATTTTTCTAATAATGAGATTTTAACATGAATGATAAAGGAGTGATAAGAGAAGAGAAAAAACAGTTGATCATTTCATAAGTAAACCATAATTTTAAAAATGTAAAGTCCAATTTATACCTTACCAAAAAGTGACCCATGTAGCTTCCATGGTACAAAATTCTCGACAATGATCAATTTTGAGTAAATCGGTCGGGAATAAATTGCTTGATAAGGAATAACTTAATAAGTAAGGACATTTGAAATCTTTTTTCAGTTCATCTCAAAATAAGTCAAAACCACTTTTTTTGCAATTACACTCTTTTCTTTTCACATTAGGAAGTCATTTTCATTTCAAGCTAATTGTTTTATCGTTTCCAAAAGACAGCAAAAAGCTTGAAGCACAATTTGCATATATATTGTTCTCCGTGCTCATCTCCGGATGAAGAATATATTCTGTCTGAGTTCCCTCGGAAACTAATTAATTAATCGAACCAGATTTTCCCCCTTACTTTTTATTTACTTTATGTAAAGTTATTTGCAAAGAATAAACATGCACTCGACTTTCTTAGCTTCTTATTTTTTTAAAGCAATTTTTTGAAATTATCCTTAACCTGGAATAAATTACAACATTTATCTTCACTCATCTTTATTAACTTCTCAATTCCATAAATAAATTACAATAATATTATAGAATGCTAAGATACAGTCTGATTATCTGTTTTATGGTATTTCTATGCCTCAAAATATGCTTAAATGATTTATTTCTGTTATAGCCAATAAATGATGTTTACAATCCTTTAGATATTGATATTTTTTTTTAAAACATTTCACGAGACATGGTCGTCATCTCACAAAAATTGGCCGGTTTTTTTTCCCATTCTATAATCGAGAGAGAGAGAGAAAGAGAGAGAAGAAGGAGAAAGAGAGAGAGAGGGAGAGAAAGAGGTGAAATACAAAAAGTGAAATTAGTGAAGTGATATTGAATTCTTATAAAATGGTTCAAGCGTGAATGTATGAATGGATTTCATTGTTTCTAAGAAAATGTAACCAAAGAGAAAAAAAGAAAAAAAAACGATGATGATGTCGTAAGTTTTTTACGATCATTTTGAATGCAATAATATCGCTAAAAGTTGTCATATATTATCAGCAAAGAAAACCTCTCATAAATCAAAGATCAATTCCAAAGGTCACCATTACTCTCGCTTTTAACTTCTTCTAATATTTCCAGTCCAAACTTAGTAATTAAGTTTTCTACATCCTTACTTCTACATGAAATAGAAGTCAGTGAATTCCCTTCGCTAATTTTAACTACCCTTGTTGATTTTTAGTTCTTCAATAATTATTGAAAGTCTATTAATCATCTATATTATAGCTACCATTAATTATGTCTAAAACACTACAGAGATTGATTTCTTATCTGCATTTATTCCACAATATCGATTAAAAAAAGAAGCGCAATAATAATCACCACCCATGGAGGTAAGTAAATCAAGTTAATGCTTTTCATCTTCCTTTATTTAACTAATTATCACTGTATGAATTCAATTATAAGGACTTGAAGCATGAAGCATATCAGAGTTCATGAATGGGCCGACTAATTAACACATCACAATTTAAATTCAACTTATAATAAATGAAATGCCGGAACATTTATAATGGCATTGGGATGTTAAGTGTACATCATTCAAATTATTTCATGAAACGTCATATGGCATTTAAATTTGATCATTAAAATAGCCTAGTCATCCTCTTCGAGCTTAAAACTGGCTTTGTTTCGTCTAAACGTCTAGACGTCAAATATATCGTATTTTGACGATTCTTTGCTGATGTTTCTAAAAAAAAAAACATGCGCTTATGACAATGATGTGACACTGCCCAGTCGTGGTTGTTCCATATGCTAAGCAGACATTCGAATCAGCAGAGAGGAGAAGGGCAAGTTCATTCCAGTTGTTTTTTTTTTCTTTCAGAAGCAAAAAAATACTTAACGAAGAGAAATATCGGAAGAATCACTATGTTGTACACAGCAGTTCAGAGCGCATTACTATTTCATTGCCATTTTTTCTTTTTTTTTTTGAAATTTGTCTGACATAACTTTTATACGAAATCAATTCTTGTAAATGCAAACTTTGGAAAAGTTTTTGTCCCAATTCTTTACCATTCGTATCCCTTGACCTCTCCGTTCAACTTCAGGCTCATTCCTATAACTTTATCAATGAGAAATTTTTGCTTAATTGGTTTTTTTTTTACTTACAAGAAAAATCACAGTAATGCTAGTTTACAACTAATCGCAAAAGCTGTCAAAAACCAAGGAAGGACAGGATGTGTACCGTATTGCACCTTTGACATTAATTTTAATGAGGATGACAAGATGAAATAGTGCATACTGGGCGGCAATTAATTTGATGGATATCATATCTGTTTCACATGACTTTTCGCCATTAACAGCTGGAAAACTTAGAAAGATTGTAACTGTCATAATAAGTCTTAAGTAATACTTCGAGAGATGGCACATCTGAAATTCACAGGAAGATGAAAGTGACGGCGGTAAGAGAGAGTTAAACATCGCTGAGCCAGATATGTGATGAGATAAAAGGAGACACAAGAGAGATTTTATTTGTCTTTTTGAGAAATGGGTTGGAAAAGAAGATGAAATGAAGCTGTGGCAGAGAAGTGAAAAGCTTATATGATACAAAGGCGCCTAGAATCGGTCGAGAGTAGAGATGGGATGGAGGAGGGGCGAAGGGACAACTTGGCTAAGAGTAGAGTAGGCACCAGATCACTCAATCAAGCTAACTAGCAGTTTGCTTGCTTGCTTCACATCTGCTTAACAATCAGATTTCCGTCCTCCTTTTTACTTACTCATCCTGTCATCTGTCCCTTATGCAGGATTTGTGTCACAGGACAACCCATTTCTCTTCATCCATCCTCTAAGTTTCATCTCAGCTTAAACATTTACTGTTTGAGTTGCTAATCGTATATCATTGATATATCTCGCTGAATTTATCCGACTGCAACGTTTTTCATCCAATTGTTCGTTAAAGAAAAATAACTCTGGAAATTTCTTTTTTCCTTCCTACGAATCCTCTCATTATAAAATAAGAAATCCCGGGTTAACAACAACGAGTGAAGAATGCAAATGAAATATTCGATCGATTTTCTGATTCTTCTCTTCTATGTTATAGAATACGGTATGAACTTCCTTCGAGCATTACTTCCCATTTGACCTACCGGAATTTTCCGCTCCCCGCTACCTCATTAGCCAACAGGGCAAAGCAGCTATGTTCATTCTCATATTTCATGATGACATTTATTTGGGCTGCGTTAATTTCAACACTAATCCGTAACGGATACGAATGGTAAGGTTGTTGGTCGGTTTGTTGGTTCACTAGGTATCCTTATGAGGTGTTGTGGAGGCAGGGGAAGGGAAAGCAGGGTATACAGTTATTTTAATATCATTGGGATGTTATCATATCCGAAGTTTATCAAATGTTCCGTTGAGCTCATCTTCCTGCTTTTCCTGCATTTTTTACAAATCATTTTGCTCTAGGCAAATTTACCAGTTGATATCTAACTGCACTTTCCGGACTATTTTCAAACTTGTAAAAAATATTCTTTGACCCTTCCCAGTCATTTTTTAGGTCACAACAACATGCTATATTAGTTGATGTGGTAAATATCTTCCATGTGCTCCATACTTTATCATTTATGTTAACTCTCTGTTTCTTATTAGAGCAAAAAGTAAGTCATTGCTCACCTCGGCGTGTAGACATCACAAGTTATTCATTAGTTTATTCGTCGATCTATGACATTCCCTAGGTAGGATTATTCGATTTGTTGTAATTTATTGCGGTATTTAAGCACATTTAGTCTTTAATAAGCACTAGAAAGAAATCATTATTACCAATTTTCGAGTAATATTTATCACAATGTTCTTAAATTAATAGCATTGGTCAGTAAATTATTCTTTTTGCACCTTATTCTCACATTTAAATGTTACCTGAAAGTAATGATTTGGTTTTATTTGGTTGCTTGTTGCTTTTAATATATAAATGTTTTGAGATCAACTTATCTTTTTAATTCAAATTGTGTAATATTTATATATATTATGCATTCCCAAATCTTCCCGTTTTTTCTTTTCGTGTTTATTTGTTCGAATATATGTTTTCGTTTTGATTCTTTAGAAAATTTGTTTTCAGATCACGCCGATCAAATCGGGGTGTGATTCTGTGGGACTACTTTCTCAATTCATTTCAACTTTAAAGCAGTCTTGGTTCGTATCGCATTTGGATACGTATCACAAGGAGTGTAAACTTGCTGTGTGATGGTAGTTGTTATTTACTCACTGCAAAGGGTTTTCAGGTATGCTTTATCGTATTTATTTTTTTCCGTTTCATATTAAGAAATATCACACTGTCATAATAAATTGTTGTGTTAGCTGATTTTTTAATGGTTTTGATAGTTTGAAAGTTGTGAATAATGTCAGTGTTGCATTGCTGAAAGGCATATATATATGTATATATATATATATATATATATATATATATATATATATATATATATATATATATATAT